GCTGAAAAACTTCGACCTCGGGTACAGGCTGCTGAAATGTGTTTTCTGAATCGAGTAGCCAGCCTTACGCGAGAGCCTAAGTAAATTTGGTCCGGAATACAGACATCCGCGAGAGCCTTGTTCTACAGTCGGTGCCACTTGAGACTGAGAGGTCACAGCTGCGATGGTCTGGGCATATATTGGGACTGTCTACAGAAGAGAAGGCTAAGCAACTATTTCTTGCCCAGCCGAATGGTAGAAACCCAGGGGACAGGGAAGATTAGCCTTCTGCCAAAGGTCAAATGCTGGAACAGGATCAGGAACGTTGGGAGCACTGCCTGACTTATCTGCCTCCGCAACCAAAAGGGGAATTGTTCATGGAAAGTGAATGAACGAATCCCTATCAATATGTATGCATCAATTCTGGATGAAACTGTTTGATGCCACTTTCATAAAACTCCTATTAACTTTCTACTTTGGCAGATGAAGTACGCACCCCTGTTTAGCTACCACAATACTCCTGGAACCATTTGTGATTTCTTGTTATGGCAGTTTAGTCGTACATAAATTATTCCATAGGTAAAGTGAAGTGCTACGAGTGCTACGACGAGAGAGAGTGCAATCGAGGCTACAGCTGTTTTGGGCGTTACTGTATGCGGTCAATAACGAAAATAAACGGTAGAAAACAAAATCAGTGATAAAAATAAATGTGAACTGTAGTCTTTAAGGAAAAGAGGCGTACATGTCTTCGTCCTGCTCAAACATCAACCCGTTTCGATTTTCGAACGCAACAGTTAGCACTTGGAAAGGAGAGACCTGCAGTGAACAAAATCTCCGCAGCAGCACTTTCCCTCTACGGGCGTCATCCGGTCAAGATGGGTCGCTTGAGATCAGTTCAAAAGTCTGTTACTGTAATACCAAAGATTTCTGCAATGGCGATATCCGAACAGAAACTGGACGAATGACAATGCTTACTGTAGTTTCATTGGGTTTAGTGTTTTTGCAAAAATTTTGAAAAGAGTACATATGCTAAGGTAATGTTGTAATCTAGATGGCAAAAACAAAAATTCAGCTTAAAAACATTTGATAAAAACAGGTAAGGAAATTCCAGCCGTCATCCATTTCATGGCACCTCGCATATTAATTGCTCTTGATAATAAAAGTGCCCTATCTGCGGAAAGAGGGCAACGATAAACGTACAGAATTGCATGACAGCGTAATTTGCATAACTTCTGAGCCATGAAGATAATTAAAAGGGGTGCAGTGAAGTCTGAAATCCGGCTAACAAAGCATACTGTGGTATGAGTTCCTCATGCACTTAAGGTCAATGTAAGAAAAGACGCTTCTATTACAAACGGACAGATCAAAAACCAGCATTCATATTAATTCCCAAAGAAAGAGCAAAAATATTTTTGTTTCGTCGTTTATTGTCCAAGGAATAGTCATTCTTTACGGTCATGCAAAATTCTTGAATTGATAAATCCCTTGAACAGTTCGAGTTACTTAGAAACAGATGATTGCAATTTCTCGATCTCTGTCATTTACTATAAACAGGCATGCCTGATCAATTTTCTAACTGTTAATGTAGTGATAGCCGAAGTGCAAATAGTGAAAACCACTAGATCAGTAGCTGGTTAATCATGAAGATAAGAAAGATAAGTGAAATTTGTTGGAGATAAAGATATTCAGCAATTTTTTATTATATGCATTTTTAAGATTTTAACCTAAAAGTATATCACAAATCTCAATTAATCAGCATTGTGATAGTGAGTTCGAAAATAAGAATGCCACGGACAGAAAAGCACTGATTTACCGGTTCATATCTATGCCACGAAATAACAGATACTTGGTGTCAAACTGTCACTGTAAAAGCAGATATCAGAAAATGATCTAAGCGACGCACAGAAAAGGAAGACACGTCTGGTTGCCTGATATTGGCCAAAGAATCGTAAGCAAATCTATAACAATGATCAAAGTTTAATTAAGACTTAATCAGTGCAAACCTAAGAGAGTGAGGCTCATTCTGGAATCCATGCAGTTGGTTCTGCAGTAAGGTTTTGATTATTTCTGATATTTTTTAAACATTCGTAAACGGCGATCTCCAAGCGTTGAAAGACAACACTTTTTTCGCCGAGGTCCAACTTCATCCCGTTCGTCAAATAAGCCATGGCGACATTATTATGAGGATCGACCTTTAAATTCTGCCCACCAAGACCAGGATGCATGAAAACATATTGACCCTATATGTTATTAAATGCTATACACATATACAAATTTAAAATGCGTAATACCATTGGATTCTTTCCAAACATGAAACCCCATCCAGTGGTAACTCTGACTGTAAAGAGCTCATCGTAAACGTTTATACGGACGGGCTTTGACAGCGCATTCAAAAGCTGCCGACTGATAACACGACCGGAAATTAATAACGAAAAGGCTTTCGCAAGGGCCTTTGCAGTTCCAATTCCATTTGCTGCTGATAACTCCAGTGCACGGAACTCTCGGCTGTTAAAAGTATCAATAATGTTTGCCTAAAAATCAATAAAGAAATTAAGGTATTGCATAATACTTTCTTTAAACAGAAAAAATGGATTTTCAATTGTTGTAGACAGTAAGATAAACAGTCATACATTAAGAACAGATAAAACATTGAAATAAAACCGCCAAGTCGATAATCACAAGACCTCTGAAACGAGGACAAAAATCATGTAGAGGTTTGCTAAAGGCAACACAAAAATATCTGAGGCACTGGGTAGTGAAAATCACAACCACTTGTAGATTCATTTCTATAATCGGCCATTTAAATTTAGTTACACGGACTGCAACTTCAGGAGATGGATTTTCCTTAAACAAGGTAATCAATTCCGCAAACCCATTATCAGTTCCATTTCAAGGAATAAAACACCCGGAGTTTCAGCATACGTTGCTACTCGCTAGCCTCACAAACAGAATTCGTCCTTTGAGTCTCTGAACTGGCATCACAACGACCCATATTTATTGTAATTTTGACATAAAATAATGATGATCATGCTGATTAAGAATGTCTTTCGCCAAGAAGATACTCCATGATATAATTCATCTATTCCATGACATTCGAGACAACTGTAAATCAGATGTAAAGGTGAAGCGTAATAACTTTAACTCAATGTGCGCTCTAACTGAAACTTCTAAATGCTCAGTTATTGCTTACCTAATTCAGGAGCTTAGGGATCCAGATAAGTTCAGAAACCTGGCCCAGACGAACTTGTAGCGAATGTTTCTGTTCTATGTCTTTTCATTTGTTTATTGTGACCTTTGGAAAGGCTATAACAATAAACTTGAAGAGTGGCCGGCCCACAGGCGAGAATTTATCGAACTTCCATGTTCGAAAGCATCGAAAGTATTGCGACAACAGTGCTTCTTCAAATAACCTAATTTCTGCGGCTTAAATTTGCCATTTCTTTTTAAAACTAAATATAGAAATTGTTCCCATTCCAATTAGAATGCATGCACTCATAGAAGATTAACCATAGAAAAGTAAGAATGTACGCTATTGTCCAACTACTACCTCAGGGCTCAGGAAACGTTTAAAAGATTTCTGCAGTAGCAGCAGAGAATGTACCTTGCGTTTCATACTGAGAACATTTTCAGTCTAATTAGAAAGACATTTAGACACATTTCTAACAGAATAAAATCATAATACTCGAGGTAAAGTACGTTAAACCTTACCGAATTCGCACTAATCCAACTTGGAATCGTGAAGACTTTTTTGATGAATGAGTCCGAAAATGGGTTCACGATGTCAAGGGCTATACGCCGGTACACTGGATCAGTAAACAAGCCAAACATGTCTAAGAAGCTTGGTTTACACAGCGTTGCCACTCTTGAATCATGTTCCAGCGGAAGACCGATATAAAAGTCGATTCCTACAATAATGGTTAAAATTCGAACATGCATGGATACAGTACTTCGAGGGCAGATTTGGAAAATGATTGATTTACCAAAAATAACAATGGCTATAATGCGTCAAATAAGTAATGAAAAATTTCAAAAATAAAAAGTATGACTGAACAGTACTCATATAAGTCAATTCTGATATGCATGCTAGAGACGGGTATTCGAAGTATCGCCGTACATAATGAACATCAGCAGAGAACCAGTAAACTCTGTTGGTAGTCGATGCCAGTCTAACCTTAAAACGGATCCCCTCACCCATAAGTGCAAAATTAACCATCGCTCTGAGCTAAGTCATGTGAAAAAGAAAGTCGCTCGTACCGGAAGTGCAGACAAATTTGTTGCGTTTCTCGTGAATACGATTAAGATTCTTTTGGAAACATGTTACACTACTGAAGATAGAAAGACCAATAAATGCACATTCATCCAACCTTCAAAGACGACAGTTCTTTATGGGCCGCGGAAACCGTAAAACCGTAGCCTAAAAAGTATTCCAATGATCGCGATCTATCGTTATTTAACAAGCTTATAGGTTGGTCTTCTAAAATACTGTGATGTTCTATAGCCACAGGGAGTGAAGCCATACTCTGAGCCATATGCGATAGAGAATTGCTAAGAAAGTTCGCCTTACGACTTTCTAAGGCATCTCGAAATTCCGCTTTCTAAATCTTACTGAGATCCGTCACACCATCAATCCTTCGAGTAAAACTGGTCTATAAATGGAATAGTGTTGTTTGTTGTTGATTGTTTGTCCTAGGATGGCGGCCAATATAGTCTGGCTGAAACGTCGGTAGTTCTAGGTAAGACTACTGTCCGTCTGTATCGCTGTGTCTAAAACAAATGAGGTGCCAGTTTACAGAAGACATATAAGTAAACAGAGTTATAGAAATCAAAGTTTGTTTCTGTTGCTTGCATCCGGAATCTCACTCTGTCGATCAATAACCAGCACTCGTGCCCATAAGTAAGGTACGTACAAATATTTAAATACAAATAGCCTTGCATGACTGTTCAGCTCCTTCATCACCAATAGAAATCGGTTCAGCTCAATATCGTCAAATGTGTTTGAACAATGGCAGAACAACACCAGTCCGTAAAACAGAACAAAGAATAAGATATATTTTACCGGGGGGAACAATTTATTTTTAAAGCATAACATACATAAACACTTTCAAACCTTAAAGCATATCAATAAGCGGCTTTTACCGTATGGTTTAGCGATTTCATCATGAAACCAAGCTCCAATACTGCGGTTTTGGGGGTCCACTCGCCGAACAATTTGGTCTAGCAGCCAACCAAAGGTTAGCACATGATAGAAGCGCTTAGCACCAGGAGTATGGAATGGTTTCTGTCGCTCGAGAATCTGACTCAGCTTTACCAAATCTTCTGCTTCTTGCATTGTAAAATCTTCATCCAATACTGCTAGTCCTGCCTGAAAAACAGCAGCCTTAAATCGGAGTCATCGACTGGAGCCAAGAAACTTCTCAGAAGGTAACAATGAATTGGAGGCTGAAAAGAAGTGAAAATCATGTGCAAGCTTTCAAAAAGAAAATGCAATTACCTCATGGTTTAGTATCATTTCCAGTGTAATGTTCGTCTTTCCGTTTTTACCAAACTCGGGCCAGTATTTTATGACTAGATGCTGATAATTCAATAAGTCGCGGTCAATTAAGACGGCAATACAAAGAGCAGCAATGGCCTACAATATGTTTTACATAAAAACAATTCCCTAAAAGATCAATTTACTTTAGTAGTAGAAAACCAAAGACCCATTGTATCCGCTTTCCATTCCCTATTCGTTGAATAGTCTGCATATCCTCCCCAAACATCGACCACTAGCTTTCCATCGACATACACTGAGAAAGCGGCACCTTCAGACACGAGACCAATTTCAAAGTTTTCTCTACAATTGGCAGCGTGAGAAAAACAGTTGGCGTCGGTCCATTACATAACGATTTTACTTAAAAACATCGAACACCGCTTGGTAGCTGCTGTCCACCGTCCCATTAAAGTGGAACTCGTTGGTCTTCCAAGAGTAAACGTCAAAACTTAAAACCCATGCCACCAGTACGGCGAAAGAAGTCAACTTAAAAGACATTATAATTTAAAAAGAAGGCGAGAGATCAACCGGCTGTCAAAGCGACATCAAAACCATAAAACTTTTGGAAATCTTCACCACAGCAGAACTACACTTCAAGTTTGCAGAAGCCTAAACGCTAGTGACAAGTCGCTGACAACTTTAGAAAGTTACGAAGGCATGTGACGTTAAACGTGTCTGTATCGCGAGGAGCGCCAACTGATTAATGATTAATGACCGTGAACTAATCTTTGCATATCTGTGTGCACTTCACTCTAACGATCACTCTCCTACCGCAAAGAATTATGAATCATCGACAGCCGACACTTCGAACTACGTAAAACCAATCAGCGATTAGCAGAAAGTTCAAACTTCAACACAGCTGGCACGAAATACCTCACGTGATAAGCAGAACAAAGCAGATCATCATGGGAAATATCATTTCAGATTTTTCTTCTAGCCGATGATCATTCTTGTGATAAGGCAAGGCTAAACTAATTTAGAACTTCAAAGCATTTAATACATTAATCCTGCATTATATGCTAACCTTAATTAACTCCCGAAATGGCACCTCAGCTTCACCTTTATAAAATCATTTGCAACAGGTGGATAATGATGAAACAAAAGATTTTAAAGACGGTCCAATTTCACCATCGCACTTGCCTTGTATAAAGTCAGTGAAATAGCAGCCGACACGTCGTATTGATTAATAATGCGACTGACCAAATTGTCTGCGTTATTTACAAATAAGCCATGCCTTATGCTGTTTTCAGTACCGCAATCAACGCACGAACAGGGCCCCACGCCATCGCAAATATTCACGTTAGCATATCAATACGCTCACGTGGAGCA